TTCTATGATGAGACAGTGCTGCCTACAGCGATGATCAGGATAAGCTACGCTTTTAATGACTCTTATACCTTGAAAATTCAAGTGGGGTTTGGTAGGATACTCTTAATAAGAAGTCACCTATATGAGTGTGAAGTAAGGCCGCTTCTATGAGAACTATAAAGGCTAAGTTTTCTAGAGCACTCATTGAATACCAGGACTTGTTCAGGGCCAAAATGAACACAACAATGAGAACCAACTTTGTGAGGAAAGCTACTGTGTGTTTGTTATTGTCTTGGTTTACACAAACGGCTGAACAGTTCAAGACATCGCGTTCACTGGTTAGCCAGTAAATCCGATAGCAATACACTAGGGAAGGTTCAAAGCCAAAAGCCACCTATCCTGATGCAGTAACTTTTCGATTATACTCTCTCTAGTGTCTGCATGATCATCTTTTGCATTTTACGCAAATTTTCATTCATGTGGGGGATTGTTGGAAATGGGGGCATTAAAAACATAAACTTTGGATGAGATTTGAAATAGATTCTGCTAATAATTTTTTACGGATCTCTAGACAAGCGCGTTTCTCTCCGCAAGGAGATGAACATGGTATATTTACTTTCTGAAATCCATTTCCGGATGAATGAGAAATTAGCTCCAAAGTGTAGTGTTTTGATAAGCCTAAATGGGTATGCAAAATGTGGGAAGTGTTTGTCCCACATGGAAAAAATGTTGAAACAAATTGAAATTTAAATAAGCTGAGTTTAGGATTTGGGCTTGGGCTTGGGCTTGGGCCTAATTGTAAAGTCCAGATTATTCTTTTTTGGAATTTTGGATTGGGCCTAATTTTGGGCTGGGCTTATTTAAATGGGTTTCACAAATGAGTGGGGTTTTTGGGTGGTTGGTTTTTTTGAATTAAAAAAACTACTTTTTAGTTTTTCTAAAAGGTTACACCTTTTAAATTAAAAAACCACTTTTAGTTTTTTCCAAAGGGTTACACCTTTTTCCGAACCATCATAACCCATAGTTGCACCCACTCGAAAAGGCACATTGCAACCTATTGGAATGGATGTGTCTATTGGTGAACAGACACCATGTGAACCATTGCAACCTATTGGAATGGATGTGTCTATTGGTGAACAGACACCATGTGAACCATTGCAACCTATTGGAATGGATGTGTCTAGTGGTGAATAGATACCATGTGAACCATTGCAACCTATTGCAATGGTTGTGTCCAATGATGAAAAGACGCACCCCATTCGAAAAGGCATTTCTGTTTCTATAAATAACCCCCTTTAGATCATTTGTAATTCATTCATTTTCATTTTTTTCTATCTCCCTCTCTAGACTTGAACCCAACCCAAGTGGGTTCAAATCATTGGTTAAGTGGTTCGAACCACTTAGACCCTAATCCAATTTCATCGAGCCATATTAAGATTGGTCCGAACCATTTGATTCGAATTGCACTCAATTCAGCATTTATATAGCATAGATGCATTTTTGAGTCAGAGAGAGTATTACACAGAGGAGGTTCGCCGTATCCACGAGTTTGTAGTGCTGCTACTGGTGGATGTAGACCGTTGTATCCTGGGAGATAGACGCCACTGAGTCCGTTAGCACCATAGCGGGGCGAATCTGTCTTAAGGATATAGTATCCAATACTAGCCTCGGTCCAGGTTCATTCCTTGCATATTATTATTATTTTATTGCTTTATTTTGTATATTTAATTAAATATAGAGTTGCATATTTAATTAATGATTTATTAGCATATTGTTAATTATCTCATGACATATTAGTATAAAGGTTGTTATATCTTAAAAGTCACATTAAGCATATATTTTACCAACACTTTGAAGAAGCTCAACAAAAGAACTCAAGATTTGATTAGTATGCCATTCAATTCGGTGAATAGTTGTAGACTCATTTATGTCAAAGCCCTTTTGTGGTTCGTAATTAGCAAGCGCCTTTTTCTTAGATCCCATTGTGATCCTCATACTTTTACTATGTAACCAGTGAGAGTAATTAAGAATTGAAATAAATGCAAGGTGTTTAAACCATCATACAACTGTAATGGGAATCCAAGTCAACTTAGAGCTAGCAATGAATTACACAATGCATATTATAAATATAGACATAAGATTTGTCATGCTCATTTGATAAGTATGGCCAAAATGAGGAAATCAGATAAGAGGCCGGACAAGAAGGTAGAGAAATGAATTATAACTGGTCCATGATAACCAGAGGTAATACAAATTGGAGATAATAATTGAAGAAGGTTAAAATGGTTTAGTTAAGTAGTTCATCGGTTGACGAGGGGCTTATTCCCAGGGATTCTTTACTTCTTTTGAAAGGTTGGGGCTATCATAATGTGGTGGTGGAAGGGAACTGTATGCAATTATGCAAATGCATGTTGTTGTGAAAGCTCTGGTGGTTTTCATGGATGTTTCGTCTCTTCTCAAGGAATGTTTGGGTTCTTCTCTTGCCTGAGTTCCTTGAGAAGGAAACGCTGTGGTTCATTTGATAGACAAAAAGGCTCTTAAAGCGGAATGTGGTGACTTAGAGTGGAGCGTATGGCCCCCTGGTTGTTAAACGCTCTCCTTCCGGCCTTTATTTGCTTTCTACATTGAATGATGTGGTTGGTTTGTTGGTGTAAAAAAAAAAAAATTTGACAACCTTTCATAACATTATAGCACCAATAATGGGATATATATTGTCCATGTTAAAAGAAGGGGGAGGAATATGTGGGATGGGATAATGCGTCAAAAAAATATCTTACCAATATGTCATGTCAGCCAAATGAGGTTACATTGTCCATGTTAAAGGGAGGGAGAGGAATATGTGGAATGGGATAGTGCGTCAAAAGAATATCTTACCAATATGACATGTCAGCCAAAGGAGGTTGCGCCATGCATTGTGTCATGCAAGCTGCACGCGAGCATTCAAAAGAGCTTTTCATGGCGTCTGATTAGTATGGGTAGAGAATATGGTTCTACATTCTTTTAGGATTGAATAGAGAATTGTAATGTATTAACAGATTCTATAAGGTTGTGATTACACGTAGAAAAGAGAATTTTTTAGAGAAGTAGAGTAATATAGAATTATAAATATTTAGCATATTTATTTAGAAAGTTCTGGAGGGTAGTTGGGATGCTTATAACTAAGGTAAGAGTTTTATTTGTAAATAGCACATACTCAGTGTGAGTGAAAAGCTGAGAAGAAATACGTTAAAGCTATTGTTTTTTATAACTATTATTTGACTAGTAATAATACAATATGAAGATATTATTGAGTGGCGCTCTTACTGGTAATAATATTATACCACTGATTTATCCCCTCTAATAAATAAGAAACATAAAACCAATATTCGTAGTGTGATTGGTAAGTGATTGATAAGGTGTGAGGGTTAGTGTGAGTGGTAGTGGTAGTGGTAGAGAAAGTTAGGAGTTCAAATTAACGGAATAAGAAAAGGGAAAGTTAATACACATTTTAACTTTTGAGACAAAGAAATTAAATTTTGTAATCAAATAAACTAAACTAATGAAATTACAAATTTGTACTCACCCGGTATTAAAAGTTATGTAGCCATATGTTAAAAGAACAAAATTAGTCTAGTAATAATGGCACCACACTCTCACATTGGACAATCAAACATTATTCTTTGGAATATGACCAATTATATCAATTCAATGTAATAATAAAAAGGACTACCACTACCAGGAACCTTAATCATAATTAGCCGGTAAGGACCGTAAGGTCTATACGATTCTCACAATAAAGAGCATTTTGGGCTATGTGGGCCTTTTTGTTCTTGCTCTTTTGTAATGTTCTAATTGGGCTCATTTACTCCAAACAAGTACAGCCTCATCCATTTACTGCCCAACATTTTTTTTTTTTTTTCCTATAAAAAAATCCACCAATTCATAAGAAAAACTTAAAATTAATCTTTTAATTTGGAAGGTTGAGATGATACTATTGACTTACTTTTATTTTTTATTTTTTTAAATGCTAGAAGGTTTAGGAGATGCCATGGAACTTTCAAGTTTGCTTAGAATTGTTGCTGCCATGGCTCGAAGAATGAAGAGTGGATTTAATATTTAGGCCACAATCCACATATAGTATACAAATGAAAATAAAATTTTAGTGGATGCTGGATACATTCCATTATTGTTTGGGGGTAAAAAAAGGAGGCATGCAATATATATGTGTGTGTGTGTGTGGAGGCTTGAATGTCTATCTTGTATTTTGAAAGGTGAAAAAGAAACACTAATTGGTGTTTTGTTTTTTTGTTTTTTTTTTTGTTTATACATTGAGAATGTCCAAATAAGTATATCTTAAGGTCTACATTAATTTTTTTTCTTCATATATATATATATATATATATATATATATATATTAGTTCTTCATTAAATAATTAAGAACACTGTATCAACTAACGATATATATATTTTAAAATTCTGACAAAAATAAACTTTAACAAGTTGATTTGAAGTGTTCTAAACCACATCATCAAGCTAGTGTCAAAATTAAATATTAATAAGTTAATTTGAAGTGTTCTGAATCACATTGTTTAGTGTTAGCAATGATGCAATAACAAATTAAAGATACAGGTAACCATTATATTTTAATTTTATACTTCTCAAGAATATATGAAACATTATAAATATGAACATGTGTATTAAGCAAGGCAAAATTCACAAACATGAGTTCAATTAAATTCGAGATTAATGAATTGGCTTGTTTATTAAAGAACTTAACAACAAAGTTTGAATTTGACTTGTTTACGAATCGGATTGAGTGGAGTTTAAAATAAGTTGGTCTCGAAATGCTCATAAAGACATAAACAATTCGATTAAAAATAAAAATAAAAGCCTCTCTTTGCTGCAAATAGGAGCGTGTCTTTTAACCAAAAAAAAAATAATAAAAAAATAGGAGCGTGTCTTGTCATCGACTGAAGGCGCGTCGGTCTCACCAGTCTTCTCCGCCACCAAAACACAACAGAATATGCGAATAAACTAGAACTCTCCAAGTGCGTAACTTAGTAACCGTCACCTTATCGTGAGCCTTCTGGAGAAAAACCCTATCAAAACCTCCAGTACTTCAAACCCTTTGATCGATCGTAGTTTTGTGTTTGATCAGTGATCATATCGAGTATTTTCGTGTTCTGGGTATTATATACACACAGTGACAGTTATATATATATATATATATATATTTATATATGGCGAAAAAGAGGAGTGTTGGGGATTTGAAGGAGGCCGATTTGAAGGGGAAGAGGGTATTGGTTAGGGTTGATCTCAACGTGCCTTTGGATGACAACTTGAATATCACAGATGATACTAGGATCAGGGCTGCTGTGCCCACCATCAAGTACTTAATGGGTCATGGTGCCAAAGTCATTCTTTGTAGTCATTTGGTATATTCATTTTACCTCAATTACTGTATTTTTCTTGGGTTTATGTTTCATTTCAATAATAGTTGTTAAATGTGTTTTCTTAATTAATTTTATTGATTATTTGATTTGATTTTTTATTTTTGAACTTGTTGCCTCATTATTTATAATTGGGTTCTGGTTTTTTTATTTTTTTTAAATTTTATTTTACAGCATTTTGTATTTGTGTTTGGTATTGGTAAACTGGGCTCTAATTCTCTAACTATTAACTGTCAATTTATTGGAATTCAGTAGTATTTTTTGGCTATTTGATTTCCATACTGTTCACTCATGACTCTGGTTCATTTTCAGTTACTAGTCTGTGTTGCCTTTTGATTGTGTATATGCTATTTCATTTGAGGGTACAAACATTCAAGATGGGTTTTTGCTGCCATTTGGTTCCATACAAATGGACCCAAATACGAGCATTACGAGAAATGACCTACTTGGTTATTTCGATGACATCATTTAAGCGGGAGGTTCGACCATGTCCTCATAATGAATGGTCTAGGTTGGGCGGCAATGTGTGCTAGATTATATTGTATTACCTAACTTTATCTCTCCCACCATAGTGAACATTGAATTTGGCATGGCACCAAACTCTTTACAATGAAATTCACGTGAGTTTTACTTTTTTAGAAACATGTGAGAGGCATGGGGTAATCACAGTGAGAGTGGTGAGAACTGGAGAGTCGGGATGTGAGAGCAGCTGATTAGGCCCTAGGATAATTGTGTAAAGAATATAAAACACGGGAAAAAGAGAGACTGAAATGGAGGCTTCAAATTGGTATAGATGGTGACTTGGGGGAACCTAGTCTTCCCAGCCTTAATAGGTAGAAGTGAACCCCCATGGTTCGGTCTAGACTGACCAAAAGTTACTACTACATCAAGACACGTGTTCCTTATATTGGAGGTTCATGGCGTTCACATGGTAAATTAGTTGACTTTCTATTTTACAGTGTTGACAACTTTTTGACCCAATAACTAGTATGGTACTTTAACAATTTAATGGTGCTCAATTTTCCTTTGTATGTTAGAGTAATGATCAGATGTACTGAGCATTTATTCATTTTGCTCTCTCTGTTTTCTTTGGTGGGTGGGGGGATAGAACTCTGCATTTTGAACCGCCTACTTTGAAGGGAAACGGTGTGCCTCCTAATTAGTGTTCTTGGGTTGCAGATTTCCGTGTTGATTATATTGTGCAGTGGTGATCAAATGAACTTTACATGGAATTGCAAGGCATTTAAAAACACCAATGATGACATAAAACAAAATCAAATATTAAAAAAAAAAAAGAGAAACAAAAAAGAGATTTACTTACTTCAGTGGTCCTTTACTTCTTATTAGGCTCATGTATGCGATCTGTTACCTTTAATTGTGTAGAGTTCTAGCTTAATGATAATCTGGAGTATATTTTGTGGAAAACATGATAGGGGGAAGCCTGACTTGCTCTTACAAACAACATCTGAACATAGCAAGTAGGGTGGTCCACTATTACCCAAAATTTTGTGATTGTCACAAATCCAAAAATCTTAATGATAGTGAATTGTGACTCCACGGATTGTTTGGTCCTACAACTATTTTGCATAGTTTTAAGTTACACAACATGCAGGTATCACTATCACCAGTTGCAATACTGATTCATATTGGCCAAAACAAATTTGTGTAAGACAGAACTTGGTAGAACAATGCGGTAGCTATCTCAAATCATGTCTAACAGACATATAAAACGTTTGGAATCTTGTTAGATAGAGTAAATTTCTTACCAATATTAATTATATGCTTCCTTTTATTTTCTTTTTATTTTTTAGGATAAGAAATAAATATTATGTGATATTTTCAGAAAGAGACAATCATTTTTATAAAAATTCTCCAAATTGACTAGTCGGTGAGAATATAATCACAAGTAGACATTATCAACTTTAAATTTAATTCTAATGCTTGAATAATTATCAAAATGTAGTCCTCTGAAAGGACTGTTTCAGATGGTTTTGGGGCAGTTCTGAATCCAACATGTCAAAAGATTATTCAAAATGTAACCTGACAGTCCAATGTGTTTCTTAGAACTTAATTTTAATCTGAATCCAATTTTGATCAGACTCTTATTTTGATTATGATGTAATCAAACTATTAGTAATCATTGAATATATGTGGTTTAAAAATGATAACATCATAACAGTGATGATGAAGTATTACACTGAATATGGTGGATATTTTAGGTGTAATGGATTAGATGATGAACTTAGCGAGAGGGAGAGAGTATCAAACTTCTTGAGCTGAACCTCTTCCAAGGGTCTTTAAGTACTGCTTTTAATGTGTGGGAGAGGTGTTACACGGCCTAGGAAGTGTCTGAACCAGCAAATTTCCCTTATTTTAGCAAGCTGTGGACAAGGGACCTACCCCTTCAGATTGTCTTTATAACAAAGGGACATTTCACATCGTGTTGGAACAGACAAGTAGTTTATACTTTATAGTACTAAGCACTTAATGAAGCGAGTTGGTTTTTTAATGAGATGGGACAAGGTGGAGGAGGCTCTGATTTTCACTAATAAAGACCACTATAAGTGGCCTTCATTTGAGGGCCTCCTTGATAGATCTTAGCCCTCAGTCGTGGAGCCAAGACCTTGGTTGCTCTCTGAGGGATACTTGGGCCCTGCTCCCAGCCTAGTACTACGAGGTGTCCTCAACTTGACAAGGTTCTCATGGTGGGAAAGATCCCTTGTCAAGGTCTTCGAGTGAGTCCTCTTGCTAAGGTTATTCAAGGAGAATAACTCATCATGAAGCCGTTCGGATAAGGTCAGATTTATCAGAGCAAAAGAACTACTCATCAACTTGTTTGTGCGAGGTTTATCTGAGGGAAAAAAGTGCTTGCATCAAGTTTTAGCGGAGGAATGGTGGTCTTTGCCCTTATATGTCACTGGCAAAGTTATTTGAGGAGACGATGTCCCAAGTATAAGATGCCTTCTGAGAAGGCTAGGGCCCCTTTTAGAGATCTTGTGTGAAGCGTCTTGAAGCTATGTTGAGTGGATAGAGCTGCTACTGAAAGAAAAAATGAAAAATATTTAGGTTAGAATCGAATTTGTTTTCAGGGTTGTACGCTTCCTACTTTTGATAATTGTATTTCATGTTGTTTGGCCACATGGACTGCCACGTCAACTGCTTGTGGCTTCTAATCTTGTGTGATCAATGCGTACAAGTGCGAATGTATACCTAGTTACCTACATCAAACCATATTTAATAAGTTATATGTTATGTCATACATGAAGTAAAATTTACATTATATAATATATAATGTATAACAATACCAAAACAATGTACTTTTATATTATGCTTTATGAAATTGGACCTAATCAAACCTTTTTCTTCTCTTTCCTTATTTTATGGTATAAGACACACATTTCATCCCAACTGGGAGACAAACCCTCAGTCTTCTCTTTGGGACCAGAGGAGATACCACTTAGCTAATGCTTGTTTGTGATTTAATCAAATCAGATCAATTGTTTCCCAATATGTTCCTTTAGCCAATAGATTTGTATCTTTAACATATTATAAAGCCAAATTACTTATTTGATAAAGTTCAATGGATTGATTTTGGAGAATATGAGTTAATTAATTTGATTAACTTAATTAGAAATTAACCCATCACTAATCAGTTGGTCACTACCCAAGTCACATTCACATGGACAAATTAGTTAGGATATGATCATGGGAGGCTACAGCTTTGGTCAGTACTTTTTTAAAAAAATTCCTTTTTTAATGATAGTGCTGACTAATTATGATCAAATTTCCATGGTACCTTCCAAAACAACCCATTTTTTATTTTTTTTATTTTTTATTTATAAGTAAAACTGTATAAAAGCGCTCAAAAGGGTAGCGGATGCTCCTTTCCTGGCCCCACAAAAAATTAAAAATTAAAAATGGAAAGAGGGTTTGATGAATATAGCCCCCTTAAAATCTCTGTGGTTGCACAAGTGTGAATACGTAGGTTACTTATGAAGAACATGGGGAGAAAATTAGATAAGAAACTTCTTGTGCCTTTTATTCTTGATGTTATAGAATCAGATGATAGATTTATCGAACCTATTACCTCTTTATATCATTAACAGAGTCTTCTTAAGCTTCAGGCTATAATTACCCATTAGATATTTTCTGGAATTTTGAGTCAAGTTCTTTTCGACCTAGAATGGGTCAGCCTAGTCAGCCTTCATTTCCATCTTTAGAGAGGTGGTCTGGCCGTTGAAACAAACTGAAGGCCGATTGGATTGGATAACCTTGCGTGAATACAGTGATACTGTTCTGATGAGCCTTTTTCCATCAGTAAGACATTGTGAAATTTGAGTTTTTGATACATCAACTATAGTCTCAAATAAGTTACCATTAAGCGAAGTACTATTTTCAGTAGTCCTGTGTGTCAAAGAGTTGATCTTGTATCATATCCTAACCGTACCAATATCTTTTACCAAGTTGCTGGTAATGCATTCTTACTATTAGACTGCATTGATGCAATTGGTCATATTCTTCCAAATGGTTGGAATATAAGGTTCTGTCAAGCTGAGATGAGTTAATATTGGTGTTCTTCTATTATGAACAACTCTTATATACAACATTCAGTATTTCCTACATGCATCTGTGTTCTATATGACACCGTTATCTTTTGACGAGATATATCTGATCCAAATTTGATTCCTTACAAATGCCACACCTTACATTGCAGCTTGGGGTCTCCATTTCTGTGTGCAGTAGTTCCTTAACTCATTTTTCATGTTAGAAAGCCTCCAATAATTATTTAAATTCTAATGTATGCTCATCGAAACAAAAAGAATTCTATTATGATTTTGTTCTTTAAGACACTGTCACAGGCTTTTAATATTGAGTGGACTCCAATGGACTCGGCTCAATCGTAAGTGGAATTTACTGGTTGTAATCTCGTTTTGTTGTAATGTTGTTTGCACATTTTAATTGGTAACTCACAGTCGCGTAAAAAGTGTTCTTAGATCAAAATGTTGTTAAGGTTTGTGACTCTCTGCCTATTTCGTAGTAGATCGCATCTGGATGTATTTGCGTATTATAATCAAATGAGATAGTCCTCTAGGGCTAGGGGTCAAAGACCCAGTTCCATTAGCTGGCTGACATTCATAAAGAAAGAGACATCTGCTGTTTTCGTTCTCTCTTTTCCAGTCTTTCCTTTGTGCTTGTTATAGTATCATTTGTAATTTCTTTCTTCATTCTCTTATTGATTAACTTTATATCATTAGTGTAGTTTGCTTGATTACAATATGTCTTGTCTCTTTGAATTGCTTGTCTCAAATACTGAAATGTGTGTTAATCTTTAGTTTTCTAAGTCTTTTCCACTCTAATGGAGTAATGGATTTATAGGGGTGCTGAAGTTTGTAATTCACGTGGTTAATAACTCTTCTCCTGAATTGTTGTTTTCAGGGACGCCCAAAGGGCTTCACACCCAAGTATAGTTTGAAGCCACTTGTGCCTCGGTTATCTGAGCTCCTTGAAATTAAGGTGTGCTTTCTTTAGCAATCAAGTGGAGTTCAAATCATGGTTTTGTTTTTTTTTTTCCTCCCTCTGTTTTGCTTGTTAATTTGGTTTATTTGCTTTGAATAGGTTGAAATGGCCAATGATTGTATTGGTGAGGAAGTCGAGAAAATGGTGGCAGCACTCCCTGAAGGAGGTGTTTTGCTTCTTGAGAATGTGAGGTTTTACAAGGAGGAAGAGAAGAATGACCCTGAGTTTGCAAAGAAGCTAGCCTCTCTTGCAGACCTCTATGTCAACGATGCCTTTGGCACAGCTCACAGAGCCCATGCTTCCACGGAAGGTGTTGCCAAGTTTCTAAAGCCCGCTGTTGCTGGTTTTCTTATGCAGAAGGTGTGGTAAGATATATTGACTTGCGGGCATATCACACTTTAGAGTTGTTTGGAATTTCTAAGGTACTAGTCTAATTCCACCACTTTTGGGTACCTCATTTAAGAGAAGAACCAAAAATAAATCTAAGGTTTGGTTTTCAAACAGCATCTCTATATCCGATTATTTTGGATTGAACAACTCTATCATGCAATTTGACATCAAAATGTTTAAACTAAATCATTGTATTTATATATTCAATCATTTGGGATAATGAAGGTAGTTTTTTTTATATATTTTTGGTGGTTAAAGTATTGGTAGTGGGGGCTTTTCAGTTATAATAAAAGAGCTGCTTATGTACTGGACAGTTGTAGTTAGAGAGCTCAAAATTAGCACTTATATAATTATTGTTTTTAAAATATATCATCAACCACACTGATTGATAATGTGTGAAACAATTGTTTCCGATGTTTATGTTAAAGATTTGAACCGCAACATTCAACCTAGAGAACTCCAGTGACGCTGTTCGTTGTTATCATGGTTTTTTTTTTTTTACATGTTATTTTTATTGCATGCCCAATTTGTTGAACTTTGAAACCATGTACCTTTTTAGGAACTTGATTACTTGGTAGGAGCTGTGGCAAATCCCAAGAAACCCTTCGCTGCCATTGTTGGTGGCTCAAAAGTTTCTACTAAGATTGGGGTAATGGAGTCTCTCTTGGCAAAGGTTGATATTCTGCTGCTTGGTGGAGGTATGAAATTTACATTTTATAAAGCCCAAGGACACTCTGTGGGCTCATCCCTTGTGGAGGAAGACAAGCTTGATCTTGCAACGTCACTACTTGAGAAGGCCAAGTCCAAAGGGGTTTCGCTATTACTACCAACTGATGTGGTTATTGCTGACAAATTTTCTCCAGATGCTAACAGCAAGGTTTGTTTTTCTGCCCTTTGAAATCTCATTGCAGCCTTGGGATTTTAGGTAGAAAGGGATGAGAAAAATGCATTCAACTTGATCTGCTACTTCTATACTAACAATGCTGTAAAGCAGTGGAAATTTTCAGACTTTTTGTATTGGTTCTGCTTTTAAATACACTTCTTCTTTTCTTACACAGTAAAGAAGAATATGAATGGATAAACTTGAATTTTAATCTTACTAGGGTTTTATATGAATATTTTTTCCATTATGTAGAAGTTGTAGAAAAGTCAATTGTGCTTTCTTTGGTAAAATTAGAGGCCATGATTTGGGGAACCAACAAAAGATAAGCATTGTGGGGTTGAAATGGATATTCTAAATCAATTCTTTGATTTGTAATGTAATAATGTGTGCTGGCTTATAAATTGCAAGCGATACCTGTGCAGGTTGTGCCAGCATCTTGCATCCCAGATGATTGGATGGGGTTGGACATTGGACCCGATTCGATCAAGACTTTCAGTGAAGCGTTGGATAGTACTAAAACTATCATATGGAATGGACCTATGGGTGTGTTTGAGTTCGAGAAGTTTGCAGCAGGAACAGAGGTATGCCATCGTTACTTCGATATGGGATTGATTCTTACAATGACATTTAGTTTTTAAAACAGATATTCATCGCATATAGGAACTTTTGATAGGTAAACACTTTTTTAAAAAAAATTTCATAGGTTAATGAATTTCATAGGGAGGCAACTCAAGTCAGCAAAGACTTATATTGTTTGGGTATGTTGCATAAATCCTTGTACCTTTATTGCTTAGGTAACTTTTTGCACTGTCCCAATCCACGTATTTCTCCCCCCTCCCTCCACCTCATCTTTCTTTCGGCCCCTTCAACATGGACAATATCCTTTACTTGTGCTATACTGCTATAATTGGTTGTCATTCGACATGGCAAAACCATTTTAACCTCCTTCAATTTTTCTTTCCAATTTGTGTCACCTCGCGTTATCATGGACCGATTATATTTTTACTTCTGTACTTTCTTGTCTTGCCTCTTATCCAACTTCCTCATTTTGGTCACACTTATCAAATGAGCATGACTAATCTCATGATTATATTTATAGCAATGTATTGTGTAATTCATTGCATTTGGGTAGGCTACATGAATCCATCTTGCATTCTAGAATTTTGGTCATCCTATTATCGGGAGAAGTGTAGCGGAATTGTTTGGAAACCTATTCTTTATATCAAAACTGCCATCACACTTTCTTTGATTGCTTATTAATTCCCCAATTAATTCTACCATGTTCTTGTTCAAGCAACAACTTAAATTTATTCCTGTTGGAAACTGAGGTTTATCCGTTTTCTATTGCAGGCAATAGCAAGGAAGTTGGCAGATCTGACTGGGAAGGGTGTGACAACAATTATTGGAGGTGGTGACTCGGTTGCTGCGGTGGAGAAGGTAGGGCTTGCAGACAAGATGAGTCATATCTCAACTGGCGGTGGTGCCAGCTTGGAGCTTCTCGAGGGCAAGCCTCTTCCGGGAGTTCTTGCTCTTGATGACGCCACCACAGCCGCTCTCTGAGGCAATTCCCCCCCTAATCTTTCCACCATCTTCAGCACATTTTGCGGGGATTTTGTTAGAACAGTTTGTATTATAAATTGAGCAGCATCTTTAGAGCCATGTATCTTTATAAATAAAAATAATGTGGCTCTCTCAAGCTGGTTTGGTGCTGTGGACCAGGCTATGGTGGTGTATCGCCTGTGATCAAATTCCATTAACATGGATTGCACTTTTTTTTGAAACCACCTCTAATATTTTTCTTTATTTTAAACCTTTTTATCTTTTTTTCTCTGCGTTTAAGAATTCAAAATACTATGTTTTACAAGTTCAGTGGTCGAGTTGATCCAAATGGATTACACTTGTTCGAGATTTGAGTTCAATTTTCTTAACTGAACAATCTTGAGCTCCACTTATGTGTTTCGATAGGTTGGGTTGAGTTACAAGTTTGACAGAATTGTTAGGATTTGTTTTGTTTTAGTTTACCCTCTAAATTGAACCAAACTAAGCCGTGCTCCTACCCAATCTTGACTCAAGTTTCGAATGCATTTCCATACTCAATTTCTAAATAAATTTAAACAAAAATATACATATAAATTTAAAACTATGAATTTTATAGATTTATAGTTAAAAATTTCTTTAGAAAATTATAACTATAAACAAAAATTCAACAATTAGTTTTAAAATTCTAAATCTTGTAATTAGGAATTAAAATATCATGAAAATTAATTAAAAAAATAGATAAAATGCATTTTAAAATAATCCAAATAACTCCGAACTGGGGCAGGCTAAAAAATAAAAATAAATAAAAAATTTGATGGTATTTTCACATTTGTTTTGTCTTTTTCCTTTTTTGAAGTTTATTTATCAAGTGTCTGCATTCTCCATACCGATATAAAGGTTCTAGTTCAAATCATGATCAACTAGAGATAGATAGTTTGGTATCTACTCATGACTTGCAGAAATTGCTAAATTCATCTTATTTTTATCAACTCGTTTCTAAAGTTCTACCACAATTGGAGTATTTCATAATTTTTAGTTGTGTTAATTCTTTATTTTTTGAAAACTAAAATGGTCTGAAATGGTATAAAATTGAAGTATTTCATATTAGAGGGTCACAAGTGTATATTTGTTTTTGATATATGGAACATTGTTGATGGACATTACATGAAGTCTGTTCGGCTTAGAAATCATTTCTCTCGTCTCTTCTAAAATGCAAATAGACATTATAATAATGGAAATGAAAAGTGATTGTGTAACCAAGTTGAATCATTTTTGCATGAAGTGTGGTATCATGATCATGGTATGTGACGTAACCTAATTTTGCATGGTTCTTGATTATAAGGCCACTGGCACCTTGATTAAAGAATTATTTTAGTATGAAAAAATATATATATAGAGGATGAGAATTTATTACGTTGAAAAATATTTGAGATGTTGAAGAAAATTAAATTTACTTTATTATAAAATATTAATTTATTCGTTAGTATAGTTGAATATAAGTAGATGGGCGACTACCTTCATTTGGAATGTAATTACAACATCAAGTCAAAGCAAGTATCAATCACATTTGTGGTTATGCACGTAGAAGCAAATATACATTTTTTTCAAAAAAAATAAATCAATTATAATGATATGTGTATTATGTAAGTAGGATATTGCATTCAGTATTACAAACAAATGTTTAAAACCATTAACTATATTTTATGTGGTCGATGAATTTGAGGACATCCTGGATAGAACTGAATGATTTATTTTAATTTTAACTTAATTAAAAAGGTCATTCATTACCGAACAAATATATATGAAACTTATTAAAATCACTAAAGACAATAATAATAATAATAATAATAATATATTGATGGCATTTTCACGTTTGTTTCTCCTTTTTCCTTTTTCCTTTTTTGAAGTTTAATTTTTGAGAAGTGGCTAAACTCATCTAATTTTTATCAACTCATTTCTAAAGTTCTACCAAAACTCATTGGTTGATGAATAAACAAGTAAAGTTGAGCCGGCATTCAACACGTTTGTATTTTTTTTAATGAGTATTTTTAACAAATAAAATTGCTCCTCAAGACCTTAGACCATTTTAAAGATAATTGTAAAGGGTGAAAATACTTTGTGCTAATTCTTTGTTTTTTGAAAACTAAAGTGGTCTCAAATGGTATAAAAGCGAGAGTATTTGTTTTAGATATGGAACATTGTTGATGGACATTACATGGAGTGTGTTTGAGTAATGCTTACCACATATATTTGTTGCTTCTCTCTTTAAAGAAATGGGAAGTGATTGTGTAATTAAATGATCATTTTTGCATGAAGTGTGGCATCATGATCATGGTGTGTGACTTAGCGTAATTTCGCATGAGTCTTGATTATAAGGCTATATGCACTGGCCTCCTGATTAAAGAATGATTTTAGTATTAAAAAAAAAAAAAATAGGATGAAATATTATTATAGAGAGTTCAACAATATTTGAAATATTGGAGAAAATTAAATCTAGTTCATTTTAAAATTTTGATTTAGCATTTTGTAATTTGTTCCGAAAGTCATTAGTATATTCGAACATAAGTAGATGGCGAATTATTGCGAGCAGAGTTACATCTTCTAGATATGTTTATTTTTACTCTCTTTCCAAATCTTCTTCTCTGTCACCACAGATAAGAAATGAATGTAGTTATGTACGTATCGACTATCCTTTTCAAAAAAAAATTTGTAATGATGTGTTTAAAATGGTTAACTACATTTTTTTGTGGTCGAATAATGGTAGACGTTAGTGAATTTGAGAATTCCACGTATAACTGAATTATTTTTTATTTTAAATTAAAAAGGTGATCCGATCTCACGGACAAGTATATATATATATATATATATGAAAATAATAAATTATCAGTGGGTAAGATTTGAACATATTTACTAGTTGTCTGATGAACCTACAAACCGAGCACTTGTATTATCTAACTATGTTTTGAATCTAATTACACAAATAGTGACATAGTAAAATAGACATTAAAAAAAAATACTAAATTAGTCCTAATCGAACCGTGACACGTGTACGAATAAATTTGAATTTCCTTTGATTGGCTTAAGAACATAAGTTTTGCATCACAATAAATTAATAAACTAAAGATATACCCGTTTTCCAAACTCTACTCCTTATTTACAAAAATATGTTAATAAAACCATTTTTTTTCTTATTAGTAATTTAACATACTACATTATATCTATGTTACTCTATGATTTTATAAATAATAAATGCACTTGGAGTATGCATAGAGGAAAATTTATGTAAGTAGCAGTAAGACTTGATTTAGAATAAGGGTTAATTTCATTGACACCTTTTTACATTTGGCCAAATATTCTCTCAAAAGAACTTTTGAAAATTACTCATCTTATATTGTTTTTCATTTACACTCCAACATCTGACACCATATAAAATGACTTAAATTCCCTTTGACTTTGTTAAAAAAAAAAAAAAAAAAAAAAAAAAACATTAACATAAAGAAATATACTAAGGGACTAAACTATCCCTAAAAGTTTTGCAAATTTATAATTATATACTTATATATATATAGAGTAATGATCTCTTGCTCCCCATGGAGTAAGAAAATTTATCCGCACTTTCTATTGAGACCATTAGATCTAATCTAACGTTCACTATAAAAACCCACCTATATTCTTTCCTTTTAATACAAAACCAGTATCACTATTTCTAGTTTCCAAATTTAACATTTACCAAACCACTAATTACAATAATAAAAGGTAATTATTCAAAAATATATATATAGAAAATTCTTCACCTCTGAAAATAACGTCTCTTTCAAACAAAGACCTACAAGAGTACTTTTTCTTTCTCCATACAAATTGAATTTAGTACTTTCTCTTTCTCCATACAAATTGAATTTGCAAGTTCTCTACCGCCTTTGTCTCCTTATAATCATAAGTAAATAAAAATGAATCATAATTAAAATTTAATGGATTAAAATATCTTTTTTATTATTTTTTTTTCTTGTCTCTTGTAATTTTTTGTTTGAGAGAAACATGATTTCCATAGAAGAAGAGGTTTCAATTTTTTTTGGGAGTAATTGCCTTTTATTATTGTAATTAGTGGTATGTAAATATTAAATTTAGAAATTATAAATAGTAACAATGGTTTTATATTAAAAGGAAATGATGTAAGGAGGTTTCTATAATAATCGTTAGATTAGATCAAATGACCACTATAAAAAGTGCGGATGAATTTTCTTGCTCCATAGGGAGCAAGAGATCATTACTCTATATATATATATATATATATATGCCACAAGTTGCCGCGGGAAATTTTTTTTTTTCTATTTTTCCCTGTGACTGTTAAAAGATTTACAAATTATATATATGTATGTATGTACAACACTACCCCGCCCCCCAATTCCGAATCTAACCCCACTTATATAGACTTATATATATAACGATGATTACAGGAACAAAGAGCCCAATTTCAACTGTATGTATGTTTTCAACTGTATGTATGTGTGTGTATATATACCCAATTAACAGATATATTATTAACCTAATTTGAACAAACTAGATTACAATTCTTAATGTTTAAGTTGATATAGAAACTACTAGACATGTGCACCACGCATGAACTCTGATATGGCATACACTGATGGGAATATCGTAGTATGGAAAAGCCAATGTTGTTCTGATCGATGGCAAGAAGACTCCACTATTGATGTTTTCACATTGGTTTGAATGTTAAATTTTGATTATGTTATTTTGGACAGTATGAATGGATCTGGGACATAGGTGACTGATGATTGAATATCTTTCTGCTAGTCTGGGCTGTGTTAAATGTTTGTCTGATGTATTAAACAAGCAGACCACATTATAGGTTATTAAAGATGATTAAAAGAATGATGAAAAAATATAACCCAACCTATGGATCATCAACACATCAAAATCCTAAATTATAGGAATTTCGGTTTGGAGGGAATAATTAGGGGTATAATGGTAATTTAAGTAATATGATATTTTATAATAAATAGGATTAAAAAATTAGGGGCAAAGTTGTCTTTTTCCACTTTTTAACGAAAAAGTAAAAATGAACTTAAATTATATTAATTTTCGAATGATATTTGAATGTGATATTTGGTCAAACTTGAAAGACTATCAGTAAAATTAATCATTTGAATAAACATATTTAAAGCTAGACCATATTTTAAAATAAGCTCTATCTATAAAACTGGACCAATATATCAAAACTGTGTTTCAGCAGTTCGGGTGGGTTCAATTTATGTGGTTCATAGGTTTG